CTGTTCTAGCACCACCATATAATTCAGCAGCACCTTTATTTATTTTCAATCCTACAAGGGATAATTTTTTTCTCTTCTGACAAATACATATTTTTGACTTCTGTTTTAATGAGCAGTAAATATGATGGAGTACAGACACAGCACTTTGCTCAGGTAGGTATATGGCAATGTATATTCATACAAACACATACATATATTATTATTAGAACTGATGATGCAAATATGCACATTATAGGAAACTATTTTAATGAATATGTCAGTAAAACAAAAATATATATAATATACATATTTCCATGTGCATCCACCAATATATTTTTTATGGAAGCACATTAAGAATCAGATGTTGAATGGCATGTAAGTAGTTTTATACATTGGATCACTTTCAGAATATTAGTTAGATTAACTTCTGTACATGCCTTGTTATTCTGTTCAATCTATCAGTCTCCATACTTAATAATTAATATTGTGGCTGCAAATCTTATTTATAAATGTTCATCATCATATCTATGTATGTCCATACCTAACAGAAATTGCTCATAAAAGAGTTACATTTGCTCATTAAAACATTGATGTCTATATACTATAGCTAATGTTAGACAAATTCAGGACATGAATGCTGGGATGTAGTTGGGCAGGACTTGAAAAAATAGTTTTCCCCAGTAAACACTGAAACACAATATTACAATAATGACCTAGGATAAAATTTGATATGCAACTTCTAAGAACTGGCACAGAGCTTTTTGCATCTTTTTAGAATTTTCATATTTTAAAACTAAATGAATAAAACATTTAGCATATGGAACATCTGTAATGAAAAATTATGTCTGGAGTAGATGCTGTATGCTAAGACACCTTGTCTTACAAGGAGTAACTAAGCAGAATCTGGAAAATGTGATTAAGGCAGAAATGAAAAGAAAATCGCTAATTGGCATTCACAAAGATTAGTAAAATTCATTTTTCACAGAATGCCAGCAATGAAGAAAGAGGGAAGTTCAGTGAGGGGATTTTATTTGACATCCTGTACTTCAAATAAAGCAAATAAAATTTGTTAAAGCTGGTAGACATTTTTTTGAAGAAATCCCCTGTGGAAAAGATGCTTTGAGGAAACTCCTTATTAGAATTATGCTTCTGTGTATGCCAACACAGGAGACTGGTGGCTTTTTGACTCCAGGCTTATAAATACCACACATGTAGGACTACACCACAAAAATAATCAAAATAAACATATGCCAGTATTGGCTTGGGCCAACACTTCGTGTCACTGTTTCCTTTAAACCATAGATTGCTAATAAAAGATGACACGTTTCACTGGAGCTCTGGCTCTGGAAAGTGCTACAAAAGAACAAGGGCACAAAGATACTTGTCACTACTTTTTAGGGTGCAAGGAGAAAGATTACTTCATGTCAAAAATTCTGTTTGGTAGTTTACAATCTACTTACCTGAACTGAGAACTAATTTTCTGAAATGTTGGCCTAATCTGATTTAACCAGGTAGTCTTAAAAACTGTTCATTCTCCTTTCAGGAAATTACAATGGCTTGTTATTAAGCATCATACCAAAATACTCTAAATGACAAACTACTGTTGACTCTATGAGTTATCAGTCAGAAAATTAATAGGAGAAAGTAGAGAATATGCAGCAGAAACATCTATGATTTATGCCAACACTGTCATAATTACATCACAGTACAGATTTTTTCTGAATAACTCAGTTTAATACTTTGTGTATTCATATTTATCATGGGTCTGTGCAGACACAGAAACAATGCTTTTATCTAATTATGATGTTTGACTTGAAATACATTTATCACAGACATCAGTTTTTAACCACTAATTTCAATTTACATAGTTAAGTATTATTTAAGGATTTAATGACAGCAAACAAGGAAACAAGCCTACACAGGGTTGTAAGGCTTTTCTCTGGAAACCATAAACATAATGAGAGCCATTACCCCCTATCCACTTGTTCATGAGCACTGGGGGTGATTTTGGGGTTTAGAACATTTGTGAAATTTTGACTGCAATTTGTCAGGCATGTTGAACAAAATCTGCTCAGTTACTCAAAATGTGAGAAAAAGAAAGAATTCAAATATTCTTGCATTGCTTAAATAACTGGAACATTTTAATAACTGAATAACTGTTAAAATCATGAGTTAAATAACTTGGCTTCCTTCATTTCAGTTTATTAGCAATTATGCACTTACGAAGACAAATCACAGTCAATTAATTAGTAATTAAGAAAGAAAACTTAAAATACCATAAGCACAGTGTTAAGGCTGACATTGCCTGAAGATTTACTGAAGATACCACTGTAACAAAATATAAGACAGGACTTGTCAGAAACTATTTTGTTTGGAAAACTTCTTTGTTTTTGAAGATTGTTGTGTCCTGGGAAACATGAAAATGTCATAAATAAATAGGAATACAAAAACATTTAATGATATTCAGCAGATTTCTCCTCCAGATACTTGTCCAAGACTTTCTGTGAATTCACTAAAATATCTTGCATCTGCAGGGTTATTTTCTGAGCTATTCTGAGAGAAATACAGAATGAATTGTTCAATCTGACACTGACCTCTGAAGTCTATGAAATCTGGCTTTAAGTTAATCTTTACATAAAAAAGAGTGGTTGAATTTCTTATGAGCAGCAGGTCATACCAGAAGAGAATATGTACAGCAGGAGGACCACTAAGATGATCAGAGGGTTGGAGCACCTCTTTCATGAATGCAGGCTTAAAGATTTGGGGCTGTTGAACCTGGAGAAGAGAGGCTCCAGGGAGAACTTATTGCTGCTTTTCAATACCTAAAGAAGGTGCTTATAAGAATTGAGAAAGAGTTTCTATCAAGGCCTACAGTGCCAAGACAAGGGACAATGTTTTTGTGGAATGTAAATGTAAAGTGGAAGAAGACAGAGTTCAGACTGGACATAAGAAAGAAATCTTATATGATCAGGGTGGTGAGACACTGGACCAGGATGCCCAAGGAGCTGTGGATACCCTGTCATTGGAAGTGAAAAGATAATAGTTTGTACTGATTTTTCAAATAGAAATTGTAAAAAATCTTACAACTTATAAAGAATTATATGTAACTATAGTTTTCATGAATGGTATGACATTTTAAATAATGTTTTTGGCTTTAATACTGAGTATGTTAATTCATAGGACACTTGCTAGGACTTTTGTATACCCTTAATTCACAAATGCACATGTAAATATTACTAAGATATGAATGATTTAATTAAAATCTTATTCATGTTTTCCTTGTCCTGAAAACCAGTTTCCATTTCACACTGGTTTTTTCACATTTCTTTTTTGGAAAACAGATTTTGCTTCATTAGGTGAAAAATAACATTTTTTTAGCTTATGTCCTATAAAGGTCTAGTTTGCATTTCAGTATATATGAGATTAGCAATATTGTTGAAGAACACAGCCAGCATAGACACAATTTACACTTGTCATTATCATAATAAAGATATCTGAATAATTTTTTGACTAAGAGCATTACAGCCTTCACCTTTCCATAACATGATGGAGACTAGGTAATGCTTTTCCTGTTTGAGCACCCACTAAAACATGGTTGACACACTTAGATATTTCACCTTATGGCTTGTTTGACAATTTAAATTGTAGCAGTCACTGGGCAACAGATTATGTTGCTTTCTATTGTTTCTTTTCTAACACAATTGCTGTCCTTATCTCACACTGCCTAATACCTGATCACCTAATGAAACAATGTCCTTTTATTTTATTCACAGTGTAATGCTTTATTCTAACAAACAATACTGTACATATAAGAAGTAATGGGTTCAAACTAAAAGGGTACATTTAGGTTAGGTATACAAAATAAATTCTTTACTATACTTTTATATACATATATAAAATATTATTGAGAGTGGGGGAAACTGTTTTTTTTTTTTTGATAATGCATTTTAATTCTGTTGTACTGATTTTTTTGTGTAATAGCTTCTAAACTGATAGTCACATTTCATTGATGAATTATACAAGACTGCTTTACAAAAAGAAACAAGGTAACGTAAGTGCTTGAATCTAAAATTCATCACTTTGCGCAAACAATGAAGTGGGAAGAAAAACAGTGTTTGGATTAGTGGAGTAATGAAGTGGGAAGGGTTGACTTAAGACAGCGCATAGGAACAAATTCTGCGGTCAAAAGGGCATTTTCAGCAATTGGTGGTGGCAGTGTTGCAGCATCTCAAAGGAAAGTAGGTATTGAAGAGAAGTGGAACTCAGAAAAGAGAGTTCACTCATAAGAAAGATTCTACCATTAACAGCCGTGTCAAGCAGTAAAGCCTGAGAACTTGCCAGCAATTAGTGCAAATGTCAACATATGACAGACTCAGTGTCACAATGATTTTACTGAGACTTGGATGTGCAATAATATAATATGAGAATTGATTCCATACTGTTTGCTTGATAAAGAAAACTCTTTCATCAGTTGTACTGAGTTTTGTTACAGCTAAAAGGAAAAGCAGATGGGTGAGACGTATAGACTATGGTTGATTTATCTTTTATACATACCTGAACAATAATAGCTAAAATATAAACTAGGAATTGTGGAATTGCTGTAATAGCACACAATCCTTCCCACACAACAAGAGAAGGGAATGAAAGATTATTTTCAAGTTCACAGGTGAGACTGAAACCAAGAAAACGATCTTTTCTCAAAACCAAGGACACACCACCCAAACAAACCATCAAGCTGAAGCGGTGTGGGCTTTCATGTGAAATTAAAGAAAAAAGATCTGATGCTTGCTTCAGACAAGTATCATTATTGACTTTCCAATAACAAGCACATAGCAGAATACTACTTCTCACATAATTAGAAACCACTCCTGAATCTAGACTAAAGCATGAGAGATTTGACTAGAGATGATCTGTTTCTATAACAAAGAGAAGGACATTTTAAGGATGTACTACTTTTCTCAAAATATTAGAAATAATGAGGAATAATAACAGTGTGATGGAAGAAATTCTTCAAACTTTACCTTTGTGGCAGCATCGAAACAGACAAAGCCCATGCTGAAGTCGATGGTAAGTCCCATAAGATGACTCTCTAAAACACAGGCATATGTCTTGCACTGTAAAAGAAAAATCAGAGAAGGTAGTTACCACAGAAGACATTTCTTAATCTTTTTTCTAGTACTACTTCTGAGTCTTTATTCTAATGTTTATGTATCTCAAAATTATTATCAGAAATGAGTAATTTGTGTGTAACTACATCAATTCTTTTTGTCAGTGTATTTCAAATAAAAGGATTTTTATTAGTGATGAAGTTGTCTAAGTCATATGAAAACAGGCTTTGCTTCCATTAGGGAAAAAATGAAAGAGGGTCAGAATTGCCTCAGTGGCTTACTAATAACATTTCCTAAAAGGAAAATTTTGTTATTTTCAAACCTCCTTATTTTCTTTTCATACCCAGTAACAAATTTTATGATTAATATATTCCTTTTATCTTTTCAAGGAAAAAAAAAAAAAGCCTATGTAAAGTATCTCTTTGGTACACCATTTCTTGTGGTTTTCCGTAGTCCTAAATCTCAGGGAAAAAGTTAGTATTCTGTACTATTTAGCAGCTAATGGAATTATCTGAAATAACTTTTTTTTGGTTCAGATGGTGGACTAATATATATTAAAACTTTCTATGAGAAACCTAGGACTTCTCAAAGAAGACTTTATCATTGTATATATATATAGTTTTTAAATATATGCTTCTATTTATTTCCATAACATCACACTTAATACACACTGTGAGACATTTATAAGTGTAATTTTCAGCATCAAAACTACTGCTGTGCTGACTTCAGGTACAAAATTACAGACTTGTCCTTTTCATCATAAAATATGTAAAAAAAAAAAAATTAAAACATTTCCAAATCAGATGCAAGTTCTTTAAAGAAATTATTCATTTTTATAGACATTTTATCCTCCAGGTTAAATGAAATACAGATATATTCTTCAAATATTGCTGTAGCCACTAAAATTATGAAACGAGAACAAAGATTTCCATGTGTCAGCAAAATCAAAATAGAAATTGCAAACATGGGAACGATGTGGGTTAAGAACTGTAAGTATTACAGAAGAACCCATGATTATTTCTGGCATTTTGATTATCAAGGATAAATCTTTACTTATATATTCTTTGGGTGGGCTCTTGGATTCTAGATGGTCTTCCTCAGAACACATGAAGCTGGAAAGTCCATTAACAGCTTCTAAATAGAAAATGCAATGAAGGAAAATTGAAAACTTCATACTTAGTGTTTATATTAACAAATAAAAGTGGCTTTTTCTTTTTTTTTTCTTTGATCAGCTACACCATAAGACTGTTACGAGTGTGTAAAATTTGATTGTAAATCAGTGTGGATAAAGAAGAGGATATTGCCTTTTGTACTATCTCATTAGCAGAAGAAAAAAGTGTAAAGTGATATATTTCACAGTTACTCAAAGTTAATTAAGTCACATATGCAAAAATTTTCAAGTTTTGCAGCAAAGCAAAAAAAGTACAGTTTTGCAGAATTACCTCGCAAGCATCTTAGAGATGCAAATTACATTTTAATTTGTAAACGTTTAAGAACTGGAACAGACTTAGAGCCTTTACTGGAAATTAAATTTGGCAAGGAATAATGTGTATCAGATTTAAAATACGTATTGTCATCTAAAGTTATCTAACCTCCCACCCCAACACCAGAAGCCAACCTACAGTGTGCACTGCAGCACCGCGCTGAGCTGGCACAGCTCCTCTGCCTGAGCCCAGCACTGCTCCTGCTTAATTAGCCTCACTGGGAACTCGGGATTTATGAGAAACAGGACACATCAGTCTTGGTTCAAGGCTTCACTGAAAAAGCAACCTGCTTTCAAGTCTGAAGGGTATTTCTACAAAAGGCAGTGCACAGTTTGCGGAGGAACATAATCTAGTTTAGCTCAGTGTAGTTATTTGCAGGAAGAAACTGCAGGTCACTAGTAGCAGCTGAACATTTAGTTACTTTTTACTTATATAAAAGACCACTCCACACCCTCAGACTATGATCTTCAAAACAATTTAGAGAACAAAAACCGTGAAAACAACAAAAAGATTCCTGGACTGTGTGAATTTAGTTTTCCTGGAGAAGAATATCCCTTGGTTTTTGCAGGTGGTGTATCCACTTGCACATGATTCTGGTGACAGGTAAGAGTAGGGAAGTGAACTTTCAGACACAAGATAACTCTCATATGACTTTCCTCATCTTTATTTTCTTTAAATTGCCTTTTACTTAAGATATTTGGAGAAAACAGGCAAATTGTTATCAAGATATGAGGTAATTTAAAATTTCTTATGCATTTAACATTTTTAAACTTTAAAAGTTACTATGAATAACATATACTATGGATGTTTGGCTTTGGTTGCTGATTTCTCACAAGAACTCATGAAAACCTCATCAGATATGAACCATCCCCTTCCCAAAAGAAGCAGAACACATTTCAGCAGTCACTTGCTGTTCTTCCACGGAATACAGAATGTTAACTTTGGTTTATTAATAATTCAATGGGTCAGGCAGAGGCTGAAGGAGACAACTCAAAGTTCTTCCTTAGAAACTATTTCTTCAACACACATAGCTTAAATTATGGAAAGAACAATATATTCTGAACTTCACATAAGCTATCTCTGAAGCTGAAACAAAGTAAACTCTAAATCTAAGACTTAATTCAGACCTTTAAACTCAGATTCAACTTCAATGAAAACATATGTTAAGGTAGTGCAACATGAAACAGCTTACGTAATAATCCTTACATCAGTGAACAAAAAACGGCAATGCAAACAAGGACAGCAAGAAAAAAATCATGATGGAAGAGGTGAAAATATTAGCTTAAAGTATCAGGAACACAAAGGGAATGTAACAGCCATATATAATTGCACATCATTATGCAAGTTATAGTAGTCTCAGATTCTTCATGCAACAATGCTGTGAGAAAGTAAGGAAAAAGGATTTTCATTTTGACTAATTTTTTTTTAATAGGTAATTATGAAAATGTAATAACACCACTTACTACATTACAAAACTAATTAAGGAGTGATTGTAACACACCAAAATGACACCACTGTATCATTGTACCATATTATTGCTAAATTATTGTCAATTTGACTATGCCTCCTCTAATACAGTTCATTTCTAAGAAAAACCAACTGTTTAATTTTTGGTTTAGATATACCTCTGGCAGAAGCTATGAATAAGGTTGAAAGAGAATTCATTATTTATTTATTTATTTATTTTATGCATTTTAAAAATATTTGAATTTGTTATATATTCTTTGTAATTAGATTAGAATTGGCTCCTGATTAACCTCTTCTGGAGATTTTAGCCATTGAGTAAGAGTTACTATTAATGATTATGGAGTAGCATACAATGCAGTTGAATAATTTTAAATGGTAGTTTTAAACTGACGTTATAGTTTCAAAATTGTATTATTTTATTGTAAGACAAACCTACTGGATTAGCATTCACATTAAATATGAATATTCATATCAACATGATTGCATAAACTAAAATCTCAGTAAGAATGTACAGATGATACCTTAATTTGGAACCTGTCACCTTTTTTTTCTCACAGACCAATGAAAGAATTTGTTGGAAACAAATTATACCATTTTGCAGATTTTAACTGCATCTGCAGGTTGGTAGATGAAAGCAGTAATGGTTACTGAAAGAAATATCAAGAGTCCAAACCCAGTTTTATTAAAAATATTCATTTTTTTTTCCAAATCAAGACACAGAAAGTAAAAAAAAAGTAAAATAAAAAGTGTGATATGAAAATAAAAGTGCGACAATAATATTCTATCATGAGAAGCCTCTTTGTCCACTTTCACAGACATGCTATTATCAATCAATCAATCAATCAATCAGGAAATCAGGCCTTTGAATTCTTAATTGCTACACTGAACATCAGGAGAGACAAAAAAAAGGCGAAAAGACTAAGATGAATCTGAGGTTAAGATTATAAAGGAAATTATTTTTGAGAAGCATGATGGCAATTTTCAATAAATGTAGCTCTAAAACCCAAAAGAAAAATCTAAACTAGGAATGCTACAATATGAATTAACCTGAAAGTAGAACAAATATGATGAGGTGGCTTCTGAGTTAAAAGTTATTCCAAAAAAATGCCATATATTCTTTTACTGATGGCACAGCAGTGCTTCTATGAAGTATGTTGCAGGGAATTATATAAGAAAGACAAAAACTCTTGACTATTTAGTGGCAGAGGACAAGTATTATTGCAATTTTTACACAGAAAACCTAGTCTTGGATTTTCTAGCATGCAAGTACAGCTTAAAATTTCTATAAAAAGTAACAGCATATATGAATTTAAAAGAGGAAGCTGAACCTCCCCTGACTCCTCATGCAACAAAGGTACAGCACATTAAAACTGACAGCAGTGTAGTTTTTGCAAATTGGATCTTCATTAGTATAGACCAATTCAGTCCATCTGCATGTGGTGGTTCACAGGTCAGAAAAGGGCTAATATATAACTAACTAACACTTTGTCTGAATAAAAACATGTCAGTGCTTGCATTCCCAGGAGGACACAGACAATGTGTGAGCCAATACTTGCACAGGCTAGTATGCTAATATGGCTTGGGTAGGTGTGTATAACTTCTGCCAACACCAACTAAAGCTGTTCTAACCACATGTATATTTCATTATTAGAAAATCAATATTACAATTTGGATTAGGTGAGTTATAATTGTGGTTCTCCTTTTTTAAGTCAAAAGTCATGACTTTTGGGTCATGTGAGAAGAAGTTATCTTTAAACTGTGATATGTAATTTTGCCATAAAAAGTCGCTAGTAATCTGTATTTGAATGTTGTCCATCTCTGCACAGTCATCTGACAGTAAATACACAAGGAAAAGAAATATGTGAAGAAAGAACAATGTGTCCGAGGTACAATTTTTTTCTTGTTTGTATCACATAAGTACTTCACTCAATATACTCTCATTCCTGGCATTACAAGGACAACTTAAGTCCTGCAAGGTTCTCTTGTGTTATTCAGTAACAAAGAAAGGTAGCATGTAAGCCAGTAAGAATATGTAAACAGCTGGATTTTGTCCCTGATCCATAGATTATTTTTCCTTGTCTGTCTGTGAACTTCAGTTAACAAATATGTATCACATTGTCATAATAACTCGAAGATTGTAGATCAGGTGACCTCTTCTGAAGGCTGGATTGCAAAATGTTTGGGAACAGCAAAAGCACTTACATAAAAGAATAATAACTTGAGAGCTGCAGAAGGTCATAAAATTTCTTCAATTTTATCATTATTTCATATCAGCCTAATTTGTTAATGTACCAAAAGATGATCACCAAGGCAGTTGTTCTCACCTGTATCCGTTCAACTTCTAAAAAAGTTGCTGTTTGGAAGGCTTTTTCCCATAGTGTTAGGTCAGACTCTAGTTCCACAGAAAAGTAAAGATCTTCTCCAGATTCAGACTGGACACTGAAGCAATGTTTCCGACGGTCCAGTAGATCACTGTCCTGATGAAAACCTGAAGTTATATAATCTGGCATACATCAATTAATATTTTTAATTGCAAACATTTATGCCTCAAACCCAGCATTTTTAAGTGGCATCTTAAATAACATGAGTAACCACAGTCACTGAGGAATTGAAAATCAGGGGTTTGGTCTAGACATTGACATTTCAATGAATTTTAAATTGATGAATTTTAAATAATTCAGAATGGCAGAGAACAGCATATCTCAGGCAGTAATTTTAAGTATTTTAACAAATCACTTCTTAAAAATGTTATATATCTATATCTATATCTATATCTATATCTATATATATCTATCTATATCTACATATATATATCAACTATACGCTTTTATATTAGATACATTCTATGAAAGTTTTTCACTTTCTATTCACATGAGGAACACAAATATCAGCTTCTCTGACCTATTTGACTTACACACCCTACTCTGGAAGGCTGGTCAAAGGAATATATTTATTTTAAGTATGAAAAGTCCATATGTTCTATTTTCTTTATAGAGGCTAGAGAAAACAAGTTCATATTTCTGGTGACTTACAAAATCCATCATACAATTAGTCTTTAAATGGATACTGATGGTAGAGACTATAGTGGCTGCCCATGGCTAGGTTGCTGGCTTTGGTCCTGAAGGAGAAAATTACTTTTGGCTTTACTTTCAACATAACATCACACAATGGATATCAGGTTATAAATATTAAAAAATTAAAGATTGATGGTGTCTTTAATTGGTACTAAACCAAAGAATAAACAAGTTAATCAGGAAAACAATTCATTAAAATGTTTTCAATTATTTTTCTTAAATTTATTTATGTAATATAAAGGACGTTTCATGCTAAAATTCTGGCATGTAATTTGTTCTTGTGAAAAATAGGTTTGCAGAACCAGGTTTAATTAATTTAGTCCCTGCTACATCAAGGAAGCTTCTACAAGTCATAAGCTCACCAGCTGTCCTTGCCAATACATCTGGAGATTTGGGTATAAGTAGCCTGCATGCAATTTCCACAAAGCTACCCCATAGCAAAGGGCAGAGTTAAGTTCAGTAAAGGAGACTCATGGGACAGTATTGCCTTCTGGTTATACACAACTCGAATAGACTGAGGGGAGCACAACCAGCTGGTACAAGCTGGAAGAGCAGCTTACATTGCTCAAGTCAGCTCTCCCTGGGGCAGAGCAACAGGAACCCAAAGCTGATTGAGAATAAAATACATAAAAAAGGAACCTGTTTGAAACTATCACTCCCAGGTATAGAGCAAGCACTACTTTCCCCTTTCTCCTCATTCAGTAGAAATGTTTTCAAGAAAGCCAGTACAGCATACATTCATGAATGCTTCTGGTTGAAGCCTGCTTTACAATTTCTAGATGAATTGGCTATGGAGGCATCATGCCCTCTCTTTGCAATCACCATGACAAAAACAAGTTGCTAGGATTTTAAAATGACCAGTCACTGTGGAAAAACCTCCTAACGTACTTCCATCAAGTGCTAAGCTAAAGTAGCTCTACAGTGTTAAGTCATGTATGAAAAAATCAGCATGAACATGTTTGATCTTAAAAGTCAGCATTTCAAAAAAAAATAAATAATCTTCTTCCAGATTTTTCTTCCAAATATTAACAAGGATGTGTAATTGAACTGGTTAGGTGTAGCTAAATAATAGTCTATGTCCTATCAGAAACATCTTTTGTCACTTTTCTGGTATATCTTTTTTCCCCTTTTTTTTCTCCTTTTTGTTAAGGCCCTTCTTTTCAAACTGTAGTGTCAATTCTGTTCACAGTATGTCCTGACCAGAATTCAAGAGAGAGGTTATAATATCCAGGTTGTTGCTAATGACATCTATGCTCCATTGCACACACAGCCAAAGCACACAGAGCAGCACCACTGTGACAAATGTTTAACCTTGTGGATATGTGTAGTAACAAAACACAGCATTATAGAATGGCTTGGGTTGGAAGGGACCTTAGAGATCATCCAGCTCCAACCCTATGGCCATAGGCAGTGAAACCTTTCACTTGATCAGGTTACTCAGAGCCCATCCAGTCTGGCCTTGAACACTTCCAGGGATGGGACATCCATAAATTCTCTGGGCTGCTTGTTACAGTGCCTCACTACCCCCACAACAAAGAATTTCTTCCTAACATCTAATCTAGAACTACTGTCTTTTAGTTTGAAGCCATTCTGCCTTGTTTTGTCACTACATGCTCTTGAAAAAAGCCCCTCTACTTTTTTCTTATAGCATTTCCTTAGATACTGAAAGGCCACAATAAGTTCACCCTGAAGCCTTCTCTCTTCCAGGCTGAACAACCTCAATTCTAGATGAGCAAAAGCACTGGAAAACCCTCACTCTTCCAGGGTAGAAAAGCTACTTCTTTTAGAATAACAGCACTTCTTGTCTAACAGATCTTAAATCAGGTTTTGAACTCCCTGTGCTTCCAGAGCTAAACCTGACTGAATGGGCCTGTTGGGCCACACCCCAAAGGACCTGTCCAGCATGGGGTGTGGCAATGTATGTGGCAAAGACTCATGTGTAAGGTACATGTATTTCCTGGGGAAGGTTTTAGTTCTTCATAGCTACAACCAAAGGAGAAACTAAAAATATTTTGAACTCATCTTTACCTATTATTGACAACAGTTAGTAGAGAGTAAGTAATTATTAGTAATGCAGGCTCTTAAAGCTTTTCTGAAACATGACTATGTGTGATCACAGGAATCACTGGCTTTAAAATAACTGGAGTAATAACCCATTTTCAAATGGGAGAGAGCTTAGTGCATAGTTCAGTTCCAGAATGCATATCTCTGTTTAGTTTGATGCTTTTAAATTACACCTTTAGACTCTTCCAGTCTTACAGGCCTTTTTTGTCTCTGATTGAGAAGAATATGCTGTCTAGGAAAAAGAGAAGAGGTACTGTGTAGACAAAAAAAAAAAAAAAAAAGTTAGAAGTTTTACTGAGATTGATCTCTGCTAAAAAGCGTTTCAAAATTGCAAAAATCTCTGGAGGCTTTGAAGTGATTAAATAAAAACCTATGTATTTTATTATCAACATTGCTAGTAATAATTGTACTAGATTTTACTAAGCATTAAATCAAACCTAGAGGATGAAAAAAGAGCTAAATGGGATCTACAATAATTATCCATGGTTTTGCTACTTATGTATGAAGATGAGAGCATGCTTTGTATTAGGAAAGACCTAATTAGTACTAGGTAGCATTTCCCCTCAGTGTTTTGCATATAAAAAGTTTAGAATATTTAAACTACTGCATTATATTGTGACAAACAACACGCATAATGGACTCATTCATTATTGGACTTTCTGTGAAGTTCCTATTCAGAATGAAAACAAAATTCAACATTTCCCCAGAAATAATAATTTAGCCAAATAATAATTTCAATTTGTGATTAGCTTTAATGTATATACTTGTGATTTTGATATCAACACCTGTAGTTAGGTCCATGATAAGAGAAGTGTAAGTCAAATACATTTTAATGATGTATTTTAGCTTTTCTAAAATTGCTAACATACATATGAAGTATTCCTTTCCTAATTAGTGGTATTCCATCCTGCTCATAAAAATAGTTATGTACAAGGTCCCCTTTAGTACTGCTCCTGCAACTTTTTATGCTTTTTCTGCAAGATCTTTAGTTCTACATCTCTTCTCAAGCATTAAAAGTCTGTATTCTAGGTTTATAGAATGTAATAATTTGTACAGTAGATTACTAGACAAAACAATATGTAGGTAAAGCTAAAATATAGCTTTCCAAATGTCCTCATAAAGGCAGGAATTTAAAGCGGGTTTTTTTTTTTGTTTTTTTGTTGTTGTTGTTGTTTTGTTTTGTTCTGTTTTGTTTTGTTTTAGGAATACGATGAGATTTGTCCAAAAGTCCAAAAATTTAAAAAAACCCCAACTTGTCAGGAGTCTGAAAACCAGCTCTGGATGAAGCAGGAATCTTCATTAATTAATTTTTATCAAACCACTACTTCAACTAAAATATAAATGTTGTTCTACTCATTTAAGAATCTGCTATGACCCTGTATTATTTACTACTCATTTACTAGTCAGTGATGGACATGAGCCAATTTCATGTTGATTTTTTAAGCATTCTTTTATACTGATAATGATTAGTTGTACTGTTTGCCCTGATGTTCTTGTTGTGATTTATTAAAACTCTCTGAAGAGAAACACACACAAAACTTTTAGCAGTTTGCTAATTCTCACTAGAGGGAATGTAGTCCTGCTGAAAGATGGGCTGTGACAAAAGACATTGGCTAACTCCCAGCTTCAGGGTAATCCAGCATCTCTGCTGACAGGACAGTATGACTCCTGCTTGCCTAATTAATAATGATATCTATGTTAAGTGAGAGTAATAAATTTGTCCATGGGAACTAAGCATGGCTCATTAGGCAGGTCCTTCCAAATCAAGGCAGAATGCTTCTTTATCACTAAATAGTGACTTTGCCTTCTCTTCTGCAGGGGTAATCTCTTCTCTTTTGAAAGACTGCTCTTTCCAGAAGCAGCACTACTTCTTTTTTATTACTTGTGTTGTTTCATTTTAATATGATGAGTACATTAAATAATCATATTTTGGCTATTATTTAAATCTGCTAAATTGCAAGAGGCCCTCACCTCTTGCGAGGGTCAATGGGAGCTGAGTTCTTTTATTCTACAAAGCTCTCTGCAACAGAAAACAAAACCGTATTTACCACTTTCATCCTCATGGCATGATTTTCACCCAGGAGGTGCTCAAGAATTTTCTGAAAGTCTGATTTACCTATGAATTTAAATGTAATATATAGAGCAGCCTATATATTTTGCCATGGAAATGTAAATAAACGCTAGTGACACTGTCGAGCAGTTTTTGACATGAACAACAATTCACGTAAGATGTTCAAAACCATCCTACACTGACAAAATAGACCTTAACTTTCAAGAAAATTCTATTTCATCTATTAAAATGAGGTAAGTATTCACATCTCTCACATTAATTATAACAG